ACTCCAAGCCAGAGAGGCTGGGGGGGCATTTTGCTGGCATCCCTTGGCCTCAGCAAACAGCCCTGCCCTGGAGCGATGCCCGGGGGAGCCAGGCAGCAGCCACGCTCCCCCAAACCCCAGTACCTGGTTGCAAAACCCCAGTTGCAGCACGGCTTTAGCTCCCGCACCGGCACATCCCTCCTTCGCTGCATCCCATGGCAGACCCGACCCTGCCCACTGCCCCCCGCCGGGGAGGGCTGTGGGGGCACCCACCTGAGGTGATGTTGAGGAGCTTGCAGGCCGTCTCGATGTCCTTCAGCACTTCTCCCACCACCATGCTCTGTACCTGCTCCAGCGAGTGCTCCTCCAGGTGCAGGCTGGCCTGCAGGTCCCCCTCGGTCCCCAGCCCCAAGCCCTGGCTGTCGATGATGGGACATTGCTCCGGCTCCTTCTGCGCCTCCCCTCGCCCCCCCTGGGCACCGCTTTGGGATGGTTCCCCCATGCCCTTGGTGGTCCAGGCGATGTCCTCCGAGTAGAGCATGTGTCAGAATAAACTTGCAAAGAAAGAATTATAAGTGAACAAAGAAATTAGCTGCAGCATACCTTAGCTTGCATGGCTACTACACTGTTAATGTAACCTGCCGGGAGAGGAGGAGAGGAGAGGAGAGGCTCACCCCGGCACCAATTCCTGCCTTCCCGCCCAGCGGCCAGGCACAAAGGGAGGAACTAAGCCTGTTAGAGGGGAAAAAACCTCCAAAGAGACCCACGGCATCCTGTGAGCCCCTGGATGAATGCAGGCTTGGGGTCAGCCATGGGGCTGGGGGGGTTGTCCCGATTTTGGGAAGACCAAAGCTGCAGCAGCCAGCAGGGAGAAGGAGCCCGGGGAGCAAGTGGGTCCCAACCACCGTGGGCTTTTAGGGTCTCGCCCTGAATTGCACGCCGGGTTGGCAGCAGTCCAGTCCCAGCTGGGGCAGCCTTGCAGGAGGCAGGGGGCCATGCTGGAGGGGCTCCAAGGCACCTATGCGGGGCAGCCCGTGGGCATCAAGGGCTGCGGGATGCCTAAACCACACAGGCACGTTCCTGTGCATGGAAAACATCTCCTGCTGCTTTCACCCCAGGATGCCCCAGCAGCGATGGCACCCAAACCTGGCTCTCCTGGGCAGGGGTCTGAGCCCAGCCCAGCTCTCAGCCGCTGCTGCCAACCCCTGGATGAGAACTTTCCTTTTACTCTCTTGCAAGAAAAACTACCCAAAATCAGCCCATCCCCATCTGTCTCGGGTACGTAGGGAGTCCTGGAGGCCGCTGAGGAGAGGATGAGCCTGCTGAATTTCCATGGCAACACCAGGGAACGGCTCCATCCTTGGAGAAACCTCCCCAAGAGCCATCCTGAGGCTTTGGGAAGAGAGAGCCCCTGCCAGGGGAGAGGCTGGTGACGGGCACGGCCGGGGCACCGCCAAGCTCCTTGCCTGCCTCCGGCATTGCTTTTTACAAGAAGAAAAAAAAACCCCACCCCATACAGGCTATTTAAAAGCAGAAAAAGTAGCAGCTTGTGCAACAGAGCCTGCAATAAAAAAGGAGCGTGCAAAGCCTGACCCAACCCCAAAGCCCCCCCCAAAAGATACAAGGCAGCCCCCAAAGGGGAATGGGACACAGTGGCCAGGGAAAGGGGGTCCCTGGCTGCTCTAAATCCCATCTGGGGGGGAAAAAAAGGTTTAAAAGACTAAAGGGGTTCCTCCATGGAACCACGGGGTTCCTCCGGGCAAAGCACATCCCTGGAGCGCGGGGAGCGGAGCAGCCGGCTGCTCGGCGTGGGAGGGACGCTAGCGACCAAGCACCCGGGACGGCATGTTACCATCCCCGCAGCTCTGCTGTGCCAAACGCTGCTCGGCTCCACGCTGCTGGGCCCGGCTCTGCTCCTGAGGCGTTAATTAAACATCATTAATAGCCACGTGCCACGGCCCCGTGAGCTGCAGCGGTACTGGTGGGGATGAGCTTAATGCACACTGTGGGGAGTTTAATGCCCCCAGAAGTGTGGGTTTGAAGGCTCTGCATCACCTGCACCTCGAGGAAGCTCTACCCATCATTGCACCCTTGGCAAAGCCCCAAAAAACCTGGAAAAACACATGGAGGAACCGTGGCCACCCAAACAGCACTCGCGCCAGCCTGGTCCCACGGGGACCTGGGGAGGGGGTGCAGGTTTGGATGCTGGAGCCCATGTCCCCGAGAGGATTTGGTAGCACCGCAGCGAGGAGGAGGGGGAAGAAGGGGTGCCCATGCCACCGAGCTGCCCCCCACCGCCCAAACAGTTTCCCTGAGAGATGGTGCCGGCTTCCAAACCTCTCCTTGATTTGCTCTGGATTAAAAGAAGAGCTTTAGCCGATCAGCCTTAAATCCAGCCTCACGCTGCTCCCGGCACAAAAGGAAAGCGGTAACAGCTTGCACGGCTCTAGCCCGCTGCACAGCACCGGCTGCGGGGCCTTTCTGGGGAGGGCACAGGGGTCTTGTCCCCAAAGCCTCTGGGATGCTCTGGAGTCGTGGTGCCTCCTCCACCCATCCCACCTCCACCGGGCTTCGCCGCCATGACCATGCGGTGGGATGGATGGCCCCATCCGCATCCTAATCCCCATCCTGTCCCCTCCTCCCCATCAGGACCAGGATGAGTCCATCCCTTGGGCAAGTAGCCCCGAACCCCTGAGCAATCGCCCGCCAAACGCTGCTGTACTCTCAGGGCGGGGGCCTTTGTTTGACTTTCTCCCGCTCTGGCATGCAGGCAGCTGGGTTGGGTGGGGACCTGTTTGCTCTAAGAAGCTGCTTTGGGCGGCTGTTTCCCTCTCCTCTCCCTTTTTTGCTTTTCCTTGGAAAAGGAGAGCCGGAGGAGCAGCCCCAGGTGCAGCAAGATTCTCATGGGGAGCTCTGACCTTCCTGGCACCCCAAAAACCTTCACGTTCCCTGCCTGAGCTAAACGGGGCAGCGCTGGTCATTGCATCAGCCCTGGCAAACACTTCCCGGCTTGTGCACGCTGCCAGTGGTGAGTGCGGCCCCGGTCCCATGGGCTTCGCGTCATGCTCATCCCACCGAGGGGGGAAGCGATAAAGGAATCGGCTCGTACAGCATTTTAAACAGCAGCCACCAAGATATAAAAGCCCTCCCGGCCCCAAGGTTTTGCCTCTGTGGCCAAGATGCGATGCCAGGGCTCAGCAGCCCATGGGGAGGCTCCGAGTGAGAGCAGTGCCGTCCCTGGGGTGCCAGGCAGAGCGGGGTCCTGCCTGCAGGACACCCAAACCCGCCCTGGCACCCTTGCCCAGCCCTCCCCACACACCGCTGCTGCCTGCAGCCCTGGCATGGGCAGGCAAGGCTCCCACGCAGAGCGGCGGCAGAGCAGACCCCAAACTGGGATGGAACCATCAAGTCCCCCAGGTGTTTCCCTCCAACCACCGGGGCAGAGCTCCCGCCATCCCTGAGCCCCAAAACGATGACTGACCCTGCATCGCTCCCTGGTGCTACCCACGGATCGGGAGAGGATCCCTGTCCCAGCTGGTTGGAGTGCAAGATGTCCCTGCTCCCCACTCCTGCCAGCACCACGGGGACACCACGGCAAAGGGCTGAGCTGCCGGCACCAGGGCTCATTCCCCACGGCAGCACGGAGCAGGGCAAGGAGGAAAAGGCAGCGACCGTAGGCAGCCCGGCCCCGAAAAGCTCCCACAGCAGCTGAGAAAATGAACCCAGACGTTCCCTCCTTGGGCGTCTGGGCCAGCAGCAAGCCCGGGGTTTTGGGTGGTGCTGGGTCACGTCTCAGCTCCATGGGGTTGCAGGGACTCAGCCCCATCCATAGCCCAGGGAAGCAGCGGATGCCACAGCCGAAGGCGATGAGGATGGGGACGAGGACCTCCTGTATCACACCGAGCTCTCCTAGCAAACGCAACCCACCATCGCTCAGGTTAGCAACACCAGTACCAGTGATGGGGAGAGCTGGGATCAGCCCTTAGGAGCAAGAGGAACTAAATAAATAAGAAATCCACCCACCCACCGCCCTCAAACAATGGGTCTGTTAATTAAAATTAAATCTACGGTTAAACAGGTTGTGCTGGAGCAGGGCTTGGGAAGCCCCGTGGGACCAGCGGAGGTTGGCCCGCTGTGGGAGGAGGTGCTGCCCGCGGCGCCCAGGATGTCTCCCAAATCCCCAGGCACTTCCGAAAGCCCTTCCCGAGTAGCCAGGGTGGTGGGCCAGGCTCCAGGGACACCTCCAGCCCCCAGGCTGCAGGATGGGGATGGGGACAGGGATGTGTTGTAGTGTCTGGGGAAGGAACCAGAGACGTGCGGGATCCAGAGCTGTCCCAGACTGCCCGGAACAGCCCCCCAGGCAGCAGGATTTGTCTTTAACCCATCTTTTCAGCTTCGCCCACCTCGCATGCCTCGGCATGGCCAGCCAGGACCCCAGGGGTGAGAGAGGACAGGGACCCCATGGACCCAGCAATCCCTCTCTTTGCCCAAAAGCCCATCTGGGGCTGTCATCTGGGTGGTTTTTCCTGTTTTCTGGTCTGACTCAGCACCTCTTGCCCCAGCCACGTCTCTGGGCTCAGCTCTCCACCTCGGTCCCCAAGGAGGGGCCAGTGCACGCCATGATGCACACCCCAAGGACAACGGGGGCACAAAGAGCCCGCTGGCTCTGCCGGATGGCTGCCAGCCAGGAGATGTTTTATGGGGCCCAGGTTAAGCAGGCGAAGGGACCTGGGGTCCCTGCGCGAGCCGGGGCTGCAGCAGACACCTGGGTGCTCAAGGGCTGCTGACAATTTGGGGTCCTGCCAGTTCATCCCACCCAGCCACCAGCCTCCCCACACAGGCTGTGCCACGTCTCTCCTGGCAGCCAAACCTTGCCTGCCTGTGCCACACACCCCTTTTATCTCTGGGTGGAGGGAGGAGGGATTGGCCAAAATCACCCCGCAGCTGGGGCAGGGGCTTGGGACGGCGCTCGGGGGGGCTGGGGATGTGACAGCCCCGGGGGTCTCGCTCTGGTACCCTGCTTAGTGGTGGGCTTGGGGCCAGGGCAAGCCCAGGGGCTCATGTTGGATGTATGCACAGGAGGGATGCAGCCCATCCTGGGGGTCCTGGACCCCCAGCTCCTTTCCAGTCTTCTCCAACACCACTAAGGCCCCCCCCGGCTCCTCCTGCCATTACCTGCATGGGTGCTGGCACGGGGACCAGGCGTCCCCACGGGTCCCCACGCCCCAGGTCAGGCTGCCCTCTCCATCGGCGCAGGGAGGCAAACAACAGCGGCGGGGGGGGGGGGGGATGGGCACAACCCGCCAGTGGCCTGAGCAAAGCCCCGGTGCTCGGTGTCCCCCAGGTGAGCAGCAGAGCTTGGTGTTCCCCATGCAGGGCCAGGGAGCCCCTATTTATAGCAGCACCTTCCTCCCCCACGAGCTCCTTGCCCATGAGAAAGCCCGTATTGTGGGGGATTTGGCAGCCGAGCAGCGTTTGTGTTTCACTAACCGAGCAGAACCATAAAAATCAAACCTGGAGCCAATGTGCCTTTAGCACTGA